AAAAGAGAGAGAGAGAGAGAGATAGAAAGAGAAATACAGAGAGCGAGAAAGAAAGAGAGAGAGAGAGAGAGATAGAAAGAGAAATACAGAGAGAGGGACACACAGAGCGGAGAGAGCAAGATACAGAATCATCCCTGTATAGCAGAAGGTGATGCCAGCCTGTGATGTTGTCTGTGTTCAGGACTGCTCCAGACAGCTGGTCACCGTGGACATGGACCTGACTGATGCCCAGTACGTGCAGTTCTTCTACAAGTACGGCTGCCTGAACCAGCCGAACAAGCGAGATGAGAACATCATAGTCCAATACTCACCAGATAGTGGCTCCACGTGGAGAAATCTGGTAGAACTGTTTGCCGACGACACAGACCCAAGGTGAGTCATTAGTCGTTTGTATTGAAGTGTGAAATCTATATAGAATGCAAGATTCACGACTTATTTAATGATTATAAATAAATAATTAATGTGGGATATCTGTGTAACACCCCTATAAATACAGTTACCTACCTAAATGCATGTTAAAACATGGGTATTCACATATTGACAGATTGATAATAATAAATATATTCAAGGACATATGTACCAACACACGCCACGAGCAATGTGTTATTATATAATAATTATACAATAATTATTTTAATAATGCGTTGTTATAATTATGCGTTACGTAATTTTAATCGAAGATACATCTCAGACTTTGTTTTAAATTTTAGTGCAATGTTAAGGATTACATCAGAAAAATTAATTTCATTTGAGTGTAATCATTGAAATTGATCATACGTGTGTTTATGTGTGTGTGCCGGTGTGTGTGTCTATGTGTGTGTGTGTGTGGGTTGTGTGTTGTGTGTGTGCGTGCGTGCGTGCGTGCGTGCGTGCGTGCGTGCGTGCGTGCGTGCGTGCGCGTGCGTGCGTGTGCGCACGTGCGTGCGTGTGCGCGTGTGCGTGTGTGCTGAGCCTTATATGGGTGTCCGTGGATTTTAATTGTAGCTGTTCTCTATAAGTTCACATTAATTGTTACAGGTTCTTTTCTGTAAATCTCCCACGAGAAGCAAAAGTACAGGGAGCTAGAATACGCTGGTGGCAACCTTCAAACAGCGGGCCAAATAAGGACGACTGGGCAATCGATAATGTCTTCATAGGAGGTAAGAGAGCCTTGTTAGAGCAAACAGAGAGAGTGAGAAAGAAAGAAAGAGGTGTAGGGGGATTAGCGAGAGAGTGAGAGACAGTCCGAGAGCGATAGAGAGAGAGAGAGAGAGAGAGAGAGAGAGAGAGAGAGAGAGAGCGAGAGAGAGAGAGAGAGATAGAGAGGGAGAAAGTAGGAGAGA